TAGTGTATTAGTATGCAACTAGCGTGCAACTACGTATGATAGTACTCTAAGTACGAGTACGGTATCAGAGGTTATTAAGATTCTGTAAAGGTACTAGTACCATGAATTCATGCTCTACCCTAGTATGGTAAGAAAGTTCACAAACCCACGATGCCTCATGGAAAGTGTAATTTCCAAATCAACTAAAGCAGCTATGGTGTTATTGTTTTTCATATATGCGCCTGTATGACCTTTGACTACTTGTCAGCCTGCCTAAAGGTTAAGAAAGAAACAGCCAGGCAAATCCTCAAAAGGATGTGGACTCGAGCATGTTGTGGGATATCGAGTTATGTTGTGGGATATCGAGTTCGAAGTTTATGGTATAAACTGCTGACTTCGTGTGTGTCTACTCATACTGTAGTTTCCTAGATAGTTAGACCCCCCGATAGTCGTGCACCACTTAACCTATGCGAGCCTTTCCCTCGTTTCTCTGGTGAATGGAGGAAGCTGTGCTACAGTACTTGTATATTCCATCGCATAGTACTTCTCAGCACGACCAGATTATTCGGTTGTAATAACATTATTCTGACAGCTACGCTGGAAGTCTGTGGTTTACTCCAAGGAAACAGTGCTTGACTCACTTCAAAAACCCAAGCCAGCGACTGACACATAGCCTGGGTATTCCTGGACGCCCTGTTGTGATCTATATCCCACCATAAACCGCTGTCCGGAGTGCGACTGGCACTATATGTGCAAGCATAAGACCCGCCTTTCTCAACATTCAGCTTAAAGGCAAAGCCTGAAACTCTCAAACTCACCATGTCGTTGCTCGATTTGCCGAACGAATTGGTTTTCATGATATCTACCTACCTAGAGACACCCGAGCTGAATTCTCTGCTCGAAACGAACCGCCGGTTCGTAGCTCTCCTTAATCAAGATCTATGGGACCGTGTCCTATCCCTACTCGCACCCATCGCCTGGAATGTATTGCTTCATGCTGTTTGCTCCCACAATCGTGTGGGGCTTCAAAGACTTCTAGCGGGTGGGATAAAGGACCAGATAGGGGAAACCTTCTGGATCAAGATCATCCATCACGTAGCAGCAGACGAGAGCGGGGAGTACCTGAACACATTGCTGGATTGTGGCGTCGACCCCAGCGTAAGATATTCCGACTCCCGGACGATACTGTCACACGCGGCCGAAGCGGGTTGCGTGAATGTGGTTCAAACACTCATCGCCAGGAACGACGTCGATGTTAACGTGCAAGATGAGACTGGAAAAGGGCCACTCAGCCTAGCAGCCCGGGGCGGACATAAAGAGGTTGTAGCGCTTCTCTTGGGCCATACAGATATTAGTATCAACTCGACAGACTGTCACGCCCGAACAGCCTTATGGTACGCCGTCATAAACGGTAAAACTGAGGTTGTTGCGGCTCTACTGGCCAATCCACACCTGGAGCCCAATATCCCTGACGTTCATGGCCGAACAACATTACACTGGGCGTGCGGGGAAGGCCTCTCAAATATGGTCCGACTTCTTCTAGCTGATAAACGAACGGATTACAACCAAAGTAGTGCCGTCGATCCCGCACCGCTAGATATAGCAGTTTCGAGTGGGCACGCGGAAATCGTACGAATGCTTTTGGAACTCGATAGTATTGATGTGAGTAAGCGTTGGCCATTGTATTCCGCCGTCCATTCTGAGGCGGAAGAGGTAGTAAGGCTACTGTTGGATGACAAGAGAATTGACGTCAATCGGGGGCCCGGAAGAGACACACCCCTTGGACTAGCAACTCGCGCGCGGTACAACCCGATAGTACGGCTACTTTTAGGCAGGAAAGATGTCCTTGTTAACACCCCAGCAATACCATTATGTTCTGTAGCGTCCGATGGCAATACGTCCCTCGTACAGCTTCTCCTAGCCCACCCGGGCATCGATGTTAACATAGTCAATTCCAACGGATATACACCGCTGATTTCAGCAATCACAAGAGGGAAATGCGAGGCGGTGAAGCTCTTACTAGATGACGAGCGGACCGACGTCAATTTTCCCTACAGAAGTGAACACCAAACACCGCTTTACTGGGCGGTAGCCCAGGAGCGTTGTGCCATAGTGCGGCTCTTATTGAGCGATCCCCGGGTCAGAGTCAACACCATCCCCGAAGCCAATATCAACACGATGAAGTACGACCTGGAAACGCTGATAGGCCTTGCAATCCACCAGCAAACAGGAGCGGTGGTTCCATTCCCTTTGGACAAAGATGGGTTCAACATCGGCGCGAGAGGCGCCAAACACTGGGCGCCAGCGCGCATCTTGATAAGCACCGGAGACTATAGTGTGGTGTCGTTTCAGTTCAGTCGCCAGAACGTCAGGGGTCTCCGCAACACGGCCCCAACATACGGTAGCACCCCCTTGATAGAAGCAGCTATCCGTGTGCTTAGCCGGATCTTTCAAATGCTTCTCGACAACACAGATATCAAAGCCAACCAAACATCCGCGCAATGCCATACTCCAGTGTACCATGCAAAATTTATCCAGCGAGGTGCTACTGTGCACTTTCTTCTGGCGGATGAGAGAGTCGATATAAGCCATCCGCACAACGCTACCAACTGGACTCTGCACGATCTTACTATGCAGGGGAAGCTTCAAATGACCGCACTAATTATAACAGATATCGGAGGCCATTGAAAAATAAGTTGGTTCCCACTCACCGGATGGGTGGCTCAATGGAGTCACCTAGATCGGCGGCGTTCATCTTGCTAATTTACTACCCTATATCAGACAATGAGGTAGGTGGGTTGGGGGCAATCGGGGAGCAAGTTCGAGGCAGGAGCGAAAGGTTTCTGCTGCCACCATGGAGATATCAGTTAAATTTATCACTGCGAGATTTCGAGAGGTTAGTTTGAAGGAATTTAGGAGCAACAATCTCCCCTCCCTGGTTTGTCTTCTTTCTTTTTTTTTAAAAAAAAAAAACACTTAGTCTATTCTTCAATTTTTATCAATTTCTCCTAACTTACCTATTCCCTGTTCACCCCCAAAAATCCCCTCCTTTCTGACCCCGCCTCTGAATTTCTTTTATCGATGAATTACGAGTATTCCAGTATGATTCCTCAACGCACAGTACACTCATTAGGTGTCACTCGCAACCCTACATTAGATCCCAACCCTCCAGAGATCAACAGCTCTGCCCATCGCATTCCCCCACATTACAGAATCGCGCGCGAGGGCCCAAACGCAAGGCACCACCCTTATCAAAATACCATACCATGTTCCGTAACACGGACTGCAAACAGGCTAGTGCAACAAGGGGGTGGCGGGTCCTAAACGGATGAACGAGCCCCATATTAGGAGGAATTATAAAGTGAAACTTTCGATCCAAATAAACTCTCACTCCCGCCACCCCATGATACCCAACCCGTGGAAAGCACACTCGCCCGAAACCCCCGCGACCTCCCGATCCCAGCAAACTTATTTCACGCATTTCACCTGGATGGCTAGGACCGCCTCCAACGGAGCCCAACAGAAAAAGCGAGCGCGGAGCCTTTTACCCGCGCCTTCGCGTTCCGGAGATCGTAAATGTTTACACTCGGTGAATGAACTTAGCCGAAAGGGCCCATGGACAGGGAATTTCCTTGAGCAAAGTCGAGTATCGTGGCAAATATGGGGTATGTTTGCCAAGGGTTACCTTGATATTTGCTCGGTTGATGGTTATCGAGTCTGGCTCGGGAATTTCACGATGAAACCTCCCTCTGTCGACCGGCGGCCAGTTCTTGGATGGCACGTCGGAGGGGCTGACTGGCGGGCAGGCATGTTTTGTTTTATCCGAATGCGAAATTGAAAACGGGGTCCACAATCTAGCTCTCTTGTCAGATGAGAGACGGAGGCAATAATGGTTGAAAACTGCGAGTCAAAGACTTGAAAAGAAATACCCTATATATTGTTTAGTAATCTATCCCAACTTCCATACTGGGTATGATAATATGATAATAATTATTATGATATAAATTATTTCCAAGGATACCCTCCACCTCACACCAACATAAATCGATCACACATAACTTGACTGATGATTCGGCACATCTAGCTTCTTTAAATTCCAGATCCACCAGAAACGGTAAGGTGCTTATTCTGGCAGCATAGGAGGCCGTCGTCGAAGGGGTAGTTATCGTAGACTATCCTATGATATTCCTAGCCCTCCGGAGAGACTCAAGATCAGAGAATCTCACTCGGACTTGGCAGGTCCCGGTCCTTTCCCCTTGCCGTGGGCAACCTCAACGCCCCCCCAGATCGGACTTTGAACGCTGTTGATCAGCTCATGATATAATAATTTGCAACCCTTGCGGAATCTCCCGACCCCTACTCGTACGATACGTACCATATGTTCGATTATAAACCTCAGTGTCTTGCACACTGACCAAAACTTCCGCCAAGGGACTCGGAGAGAGCGGGAGGCAAATATCTGGGTGGGGCTTGCAGGATAAGTTAGAAAGCGCAGGACCGTGATTCGAACATTTCCCCCCGGCTCGCCCATCCGATTATAATACTCGCAATCGCGACTTGGATAATCTGCTCTAGTCAAGCTCATTGCCCAATTCTCATCCCAGTAACATGGACCACCTCAACAAAAACCCAAGAAAATATAATTTCCGACGACCGCCAGCCCACCTCTACTATGTAATAACTATCTCAGAAGACCCAGTCCCACCCGGCCGGACAACTACTGAGCACAGTAGACTACCTGATCATCCCCTCCAAACCCCTCCAAGCCCAATCCGATGAGATAAATAAAAACACCCTTTCGCTTATCCTTCGTCGCACCACTCACCCTAAGATGACACCCTCCGAGCCAAGCTGGAATAATTCTATTTGGTCAAGCAAAGACCGAAGCCGGAGAGAGCAGAGAGGAATCCCGATTCCTTTCCGGAACGGATCCCGGACGTGCGTGCCAAGACTCTTGAGCTTCAAAAATTCACTTGTTTGTTTCCTCATCTTGCCACCCCTCGCCCCCCCGCCCCCGCTTCCTTGGAAGTTATTGAAGTTGAAGGTGAAGCAACAACTGGATAAGAACTACGGTACTCGAGTAGCTTCAGAGCTCCTTCGTGGCAACCCCTTCCCCCACGGACAAACCTTTCGTAGAAGAAAACAGCCGGACGAATTCACAGACGAGAAATCATGGCAGAAGAAAGAGTGCAGCAGAATCCGCTGCTTCATGGGCTAGTTGATATTGGGAGGTGGGTGTTTAACCATTCCAGCTACCGTATTCTAACCAAAAAGGGAAGCTTAATGACGGGAAGCTACGAGTATTTAATGGCATGTACAAGTATTTGTTTGCTAAAAACTCGAATCTAGCAACGGCGTCCGTTTCTCCATCTCAAGCCTTGACCCCGCAACGGCCCGTATAATGCCCACCGTCTTCCAGGATCGTGCTGCGATCTCGCTGTACGATGCGCAGTTCAGCGGGACGACAAAGTCCCCCATCTCCAAAGAGGTCATCGGGCAGATCCTGGCCTCCATGCGACGTTTCAAGTCCGTCTGCAGCGACTTCGGTGTGCCGGATCAGAACGTTCGCGTAGTTGCCACCGAGGCCACGAGGGAGGCCCAGAACTCTGCCGAGTTTCGTGACAGAATCACCGAAGTCTCGGGTTGGGATGTGGAGCTTCTTTCCAAGAGTGAGGAAGCGAGAATCGGGGCTGAGGGCGTTGCAAGCTCTGTCGGGTGCGTGACGGGCCTCGTCATGGACCTCGGTGGTGGGAGTACGCAGCTTGGTTGGATGAGGAGCGAGAAGGGGGTTTGCGAGATGGCGGAGAAACCGGTCAGTATGCCATATGGAGCCGCAGCACTGACGAAGAGGATCGAAACGGCGATAGATAAGAGGGCTATAGGGCTGTTAAGGGATGAAATGAAGGAGAGGATTGCGGAAGCCTTTACCTCGCTGCAAATACCGGAGGATTTGCAGCTTGACGCCGAGGCCGAGGGTGGATTTACCATGTATTTGTCCGGTGGAGGATTCAGAGGGTTCGGATACCTGCTGTTGGATCAGCATGATATCAAACCATATCCCGTGCCTATCATCAATGGGTTCAAGGCACCTGGGAATGCGTTCTCAAGCCTGGCAGATCTGCACTTGGATCCCGAGCTGAGCGATCGTTTGGGCGAAAAGTTCCGGATATCTGGCCGGAGAGCAAGACAAATCCCCGCCGTGGCATTCCTGATAAACACACTGATAGAAACCCTCCCAAAAATCAAAACCGTGATTTTCTGTCAAGGTACCATCCATTCCCTTCCATTTCATCGTCACCCCCCGCTAACGAAAAAAACAGGTGGCGTCCGAGAAGGCGCCCTCTTTGAAAAGCTCCCTCGTGAGATCCGAGCCCAGGACCCACTCCATGTAGCAACACTCCCTTTCGCTCCTAGATCCACCGTGCCCGTCAGTCTCCTCCTCAGTTACGCCCTCCCCCGCTCAGCCCCCTACATCATCCGTTTCGAGACGGCGCCCGCCCTCTCAAACATGCTAATCTACCACTCTAACGTGCCTAAAGAATCTCGCGCCTCCTGCGGCCTGCACAGCACCACAACTGGAATCCTCGCCAGCGCCCACGGTCTGACTCATGAGACCCGCGCCCTCCTGGCACTCTCCCTGTGCGAACGCTGGGGCGGGGAAGTATCCGATTCGAACCTCAAGACTCGCCTGCAAGACCTCGTCGGTCCGGAGTTGGCTTACTGGGCGCGCTACCTGGGTGCTATAGCTCGCGTCGTGGGAAACGTGTACCCGGCTGGAATCATCGGAGAGGAGAAACTCCGCTTCTTTGCTACGGACGAGATGGCTAACACGGGGGCTATCATGCTCAAGGTTGCGATCAGGGAGGATGATCCGGCGACTAGCGCTGTTATGGTCATGGATAGTATTAAGAACCTTGCAAAAGTTGGCAAGAAGAGGAATAGGGAGGGTTTTAGGAGGAAGGTGGCGTTGAATTTGGTGAGGGACTTGGAGTAATGATTTGCTTGCGGATTTTCCTTCCTCTTTGAGGGGGGCTTTCTAAGCGGCAACTTTTGCGATCGGGGCGAATGGGGGAGAGGAGGGCGGGTACGGAAGGGTGGTTAATGTGGTTAATGCGGTTGTGATGAAGGTTAATTTTGCTAGATGAAGGGTTCTCCTTAATGATTGTTTGTTTGGCCTACCGGTAGGATGTCAGTCTTGATGTCTAGCTGTCGACAGGTGCTCCGGGGTGTCCGTGATAGTGTGTCCCAAGTTGTGCCATGGTATTAGGCGGTAGTATCGTATTGTAGGTACCGTAATAGACTATGAATCTCCTGGTGACTGCCAGTGCCATAAGTCATCTACGGAACACCAATTACTCATACACCCATGATTCAGTAACCTCACGATATCCAAACCCTGGACGGGAAAAATCCTTTTTTCTTCTTCAATATTTCTCCAATCCGCAAGAAAAGGCAAAGAAAAAACCCTCCAGCACCAAGCGAACAAACCGCAACACACGACACGCAAAAAAACGCCATCCCATCAAGAGCCACAAAAAAAAATAAAAACATCTATACAAACTTCTTCCCTTCCAATGTCATGTTCACTTCTTCTTCTTCCCAGTCCCCGAACCCCCAGCGGCGGCATTCTGACTCTCACGCATGGCAGCCCTAGCTTGTCTACTCCCGCCAAGTTTGGGACCTCTCGGCTTCTTATTCTCGTCGCGCTTCTTCTTCCCGTCTCCACCACGACGCCGGCGGCGAGTCATTAGCGCGTCGAGAAATTCCCGACGGAATTTCTCGGCGATGCGGTCGTCGGCTGCGCCTTCGCTCTCGCGCTGGTCTTCGGTTGGGTCCGGGTCTGTGTACATTTCCACTTTGAAAAAAATGTTAGCTTAGCACAAGGGGCGGAAGGGGTAGAAGAGGTGGGGGTGTACGTCTGCTCTCTTTAAGGACTTCCTCGACGAGTTTATCTCTTTGTACGTCTTGGCTATTCCTGCGTCGGCGGTTCTTCAGCTTCTTCCGGCCAGGGATGTTATTGGTAGTTGATGTGCTAGGTGCAGTGGAGAGGTCGTCTTCAATTTCCTCACCGCCTTGCAGGCGGCGGGTGGCTTCTTGGGTTCTGGCTATGTTGTGTTTTTTCGCTTCCTCACCGAGGTCAACCTCGTGGAGTTTTCCCAATGTTGCGCCGCGGCCTTCGGGGACTACTGGGGTCCAGTATGCGGATTTGGTACCCTCCTCACCAACTCCACCGCTAGCATTGCCACCACCACTCCCTCCTCCACCACTAACACCAGCGTTCCCTCCTCCTCCAGATCCATCTCCACCCTGCTGACCCCGCCGCTTACTCATTTCACTCTCAATGTACGCCATCATATGCTTATCCACATCTAGAATCTGCCCCGTCTGATGCGTGAACCTGTTCACCACAGCCTCCAATTCCACCTCTGTCGCCACCTTCACAGCAGCGCTCTCGTCAACTTCCGGGTTCTGGGCGGGTGCTTGCGGGGTGTGCTTTGGAGCCGAGACTTCCAGCCCCCTGAGCGCGGAGGTTCGCGCAATTTTCTTGCGGAGGCGGAGGATCTCCGTTAGGCTGGGAGTTGGTTCCGAGCCTTCGGCGCTGGAAGATTGTGGGGAGGGTGGGGCAGGCGGGATGACAGAGGCAGTATCTGTGGTTGTAGCTAGCGAAGGCAGTGATGGGGTAGTGGTAATAGCAGCAGTGGTAATAGTAGTACCAGCACCAGTAGCAGGGGTAGGAGTAGGCTCGTCATCATCTTCCACCGGCCTGCGTCGGAATTTTCGGGATTTGGAGCTGCTCGCTGAAGTGAATGAGGGGAATCCCATTGTTGTTGTTGTTATTGCTGGTGCCGCCTGGGGGAGAGTCGCGGACGCCGGTTCAACTTCCATTGTCGCTGCGCTGCCGACTTGAGTTTGATTATCCGTTTGCTGTTGGGAATTCTCAGAGGAATTTATAAAGTTGGGTTGGGCAATGTGTGCGGAGGAGCGATGGACGGGTGAAAGGCGGGTGGGTGACCGAACAACGAGTGGGAAGGGAAGGAAAGCTAGTTTAGCTCAGAGGGTTGGTGTATCACGTGACCCTCTAACTCCATCAAGATCTGCGAGGCCTTCTGATTACGTAAGCGAGTAAGCTTGGTAGGGCGGGAGCTTTCTGACTGAGAGCTTCAATCTTCAGCCCTGTTTCTACAGGTGTAGCGGCTGCAGTACAAGTACCGTACAGTACCGACAGCACACCAAACCAAAATGGTATAATATTATGATACAGTATTATTATTATTGTTCAATAATTTTTTTCACACAGGCATGAATGTCAGAAGCATATTATCAAAGAGATCATAGGTACCGGTACTCGAGTATTCGGTGGGCTTTATATGTCCTGTCTAGGGTGTGGATATGTGTCCTAGGAAGCGTCGCATTGACCACACTAAAAGTACTATGATACCTACCGCACCCGTAGGATTATGATACCAGTACTTTACAGTACCCGCACTCTTCCAAGTACAGGTAATCCATAATTGGCCCTTGTATTATGCGAAATTTAGACAAGGGGAGTCCTAGTGGCCCTCGACCTTCAGCGTAAGCGGCACTAGTACCGGTATCCCAATATGATAATAACCCGGACCAAATTCTTCACAGTTCTCCCAAGCCTAGCGAAGCTCCAATACCAGTAGACTACGAGTACTGGTGCCGTGCTCACCCGAGCTCTCTTTCAGTCCAAGGTCAATGCCTGCCCCCCGCTCGTGTTCCCTGGGGGATTAGAGAATCCGAGCGTATTGAAGAAAAAAATCCCTAAAAACAATCCAGCCCACAACCCCGCAGAAAACCCCCCCTGCGGAGTGATCCTCTGGTGGCTTCTATGATACTATATGCTTGGTCTATTTGGTTGATGGGCTCAAAACTGACAACAAGAATTACATCGAGGTGAACCACTTGACAAAGATGTGCAACATCTATTCCAACTCCAACCACAAGAACTTCCTCTATGGCTTCAGATGAAAAAGGAAGGGAAAACCAATTTAATTCTTAAATAATTGTACTAGAGGAAGTCATACTATGTCTCCACAATGAGGCTGTTCCCAATTTAGGGATTTTGAATCAAATTGGCACTAGGGCAGGCTTTGGTTGTCTCAACCCATAGGTGTCGCCTTTACGATGATTAAGCAACCAGATCTAATCTGATACCTCTATTTTACCATGAGAAAATTTCCCTAAATTTTCATCTGATAACCCCACCAACAAACCAAGCAAACAACAGCTACCGTTGTCTTTACGATAACTTACCCACTTTCCTTTTCCTAATTCTCGCGCTCGGGAAGTGAGGCTCATCAGCTATGATGATCAGGGCTCTTCCCAGATCGTGGGCACTACGCTCAGGATGTTTACTAAAGAAGATCCAGATCCGGAGGCTTGCTACTGTCGTTGAATCCGGTGATTTCTCGTTGGCGGCGGTGACGGCGGGGAGAACCTATTCACCAACGGTCCATACCAATCCTGCTGCCGCGAGGGAGGATAAGACTCTTAGGGATATATTGTAATTTTTCCTTCCCAATTTTCTCTTTTCTTTAAATTTGTCAGTCCTAATAACAATATATAAATTCAATGGCTGACCAATTATGTCCAGTGACAATCCGGAGATCTGGAAAGCATTCAATGCGAAATCTCACGCCCCGACCACCCCACGAACAGGCTTGTTCCAGAACAAAGACCTAACATCACCGGCCGGGTTCCAGACCTATGCATATCGAACGTTAAAAAAAGCGCGGGCGCTCGTAGATAAGATTGTCAAAGCACAGTCCCCGGAGGAACTACAGGGTATTGTGAAGGATTTGGATAGGCTTAGTGACCTGCTATGCCGAGTTATAGACATGGCGGATTTCGTCCGGTCCACGCATCCCTCACAGGATATTGTGGTGGCGGCAAATGAAGCTTACGGACTCATGTACGAATATATGAATGTCTTGAATACTACGACGGGACTCTACAGGGCTTTGCAGAGGGCGTTGGAGAATCAGGAGGTTGTTGCGCAGTTGTCTGATGAGGAGAAGACCGTTGCTAGGATTTTGTATAGGGACTTTGAAAAGAGTGGCATTAACCTCCCCGCTGCGGCACGAAAGAAGTTTGTCGAGTTGAGCAATCGGATTGCAGAATTAGGTCCCGAGTTTGCCAATGGGATGGCGCCACAGAAAAGAGTGCTCAAGTTTCCAAGCTCGAAATTGCACGGGATGGATCCATTGGTTGTGCGTGGGCTCACAAACACGGGGACCGTAACGCTGCCGACTACTGGGATGCCGGCGAGTCATGCTTTGAGAATGGTGGAGGATGAGGATGTTAGGAAGGAGGTGTACCTTGCTTGCCATACCAGTTCCAAGAAGCAGTTGGGGGTTTTGGAGGAGATGTTGAGGACCAGGGCGGAGTTGGCACGGCTGGTTGGACGCGAATCTTATGCGGAGGTAGCGCTTGCAGATAAAATGGCTCGGTCGCCGGAAGCTGTCTTGAAGTTTTTAAATGCGCTCTCAGAGGCTAATAAGCCCGCTGCTATATCGGAGGAAAGTATCCTACAGAGTATCAAGAGGGAACTGGGGAACGACACCCCATTACAAGCTTGGGATAAGGACTACTACTTCGCGAAGTTAATCCGGGCAATCCGCTCTCACCGCCGCTCACCTGACATTCTCTCCTCCTACTTCTCCCTAGGAACTGTGATGCAAGGCCTCTCGAGGCTCCTAACAAGGCTCTACGGCGTCCGCTTCGTCCCCCGCGAAACCTCCCCGGGCGAGACCTGGAACGACGACGTCCGGCGCCTGGATATTCTTGACGAATCCGACGGGCACATCGCAGTAGTCTACTGTGACCTCTTTGAGCGCCAGGGAAAGCACCCAAACCCAGCACACTTTACCGTTCGCTGTTCCCGAGAAATCACCGACGAGGAGTACCTCGAGTCCGCACTCTCGGGCGACCGTGAAGATGATGGCATGGCCTCTGCCCGGCGGGCAGACGGTAAGCTCTACCAACTCCCCACGATAGCACTAATCTGCAACTTCCCCCGCGGTGACCCAAGCAAACGCCCCACACTCCTAGTCTTCCGCGAAGTCCAAACCCTATTCCATGAGATGGGCCACGCAGTACACTCCATCCTGGGGCGTACAAGCCTTCACAACGTCTCGGGAACTCGCTGTGCAACGGACTGGGCTGAAATGCCCAGCATACTAATGGAGCACTTCGCCCAATCCCCCACCGTCCTCTCCCTCTTCGCGCGCCACTACGAAACCGACGAGCCCATGCCCACGCACCTCCTCGCTGACCGCATATACGAGGAATCCCTCGCCCAAGCCACCGAAACCCGCAACCAGATAATCCTAGCCCTGCTCGACCAACACTACCACTCCTCGCTCCCGCTCTTCCACGACTTCAACTCAACCGCTGTATTCCACGAGATTTACCGTGCTTACGCACTATTGCCGGCTGGAGAGGGCACCAGCTGGCAGGGCTTCTTTGGGCATTTGTTTAGCTATGGCGCGACGTATTACGCTTATCTATTCGACCGTGCGATCGCGGCGAAGGTGTGGAAGGACGTGTTCGAGGCGGAGCCGACCCGGCGGGAGAAAGGGGAGAGGTTTAAGGAGGAGGTGCTCAAGTGGGGGGGCAGCAGGAGTGGGTGGAAGTGCCTTGCTGGAGTGCTCGGTAGGAGGGAGCTCGAGGAGGGGGGCGAGAGGGCGATGGTGGAGGTTGGGAGGTGGGGGAGTGATTGGAAGTAATTTTGGAGGTTGGTGGTTAGGGGCTCTCTTTTTTTTTTTTTTGTTATTGTGTCAATGTTGCTTTTATAGCTGGGCGGTTTATATTCCGAGAAATGTTGTACAACATAGTTTAGACTAAATTCCTATATTTCCTATCCATGGGGCAGAATCCAAATACTTCACATGCACTCGATCACTACAGCTACAATCATATCCGAGTTTGCATGCAGGCACGAGTACACAGACAACCGCAAAACAGAAGAGCGCTAGAACCAACTGTGCACGACCCCATCTAGATCACTACGTGTCTAACTCTAAACCCCCCAAGTCCAGCATGACCGGTCACACGAGTGATCTTCCGTGACAAAGATTACCATCAACCCCATAGCAGCCCACCCTCCCGGCGCCCGCCACCACCATACACGACACCCCCCCTTCCTTCTCACGTGCCGCGAAGTAGCTCCGAAGACAACCCCAAACAAACAGGCACAAAAAGCACCAATGCGCAATCCCCACATTCCCAAACCCCCTCCCCCATCACCCCCCGAGGGAATCCCCTTCTCCATTTGGCATCCTTCATGCTCACGCTCCTATTATCGAGTCGCGAAGCTGTGTTGGGTTCGATATGAATGGATTCCGTGGGTCGGTGGCGCTCGCCATCTCGGAATCGGGGGGTCACGCGCTCGATGGGGGATCTGATAAAGATGTGTGGTATCAAAGGGTTCACCTCCTCGACTGGGCTGCTTTGGTGTGGGTCTCGCTGGTATCGTACACCCTCCGTGTATCATGCACGCTTTACCAGCGGAGCGGGTATTCACTTCCTACTGCGGTGGGAACATTGGGCGATATCATGCCTACCCATCGCACCATCCTTACAATTAGAGTGGTAGTTTCTGTGGGATTTCAAGACACAATTACCCCCCCCTACGCGATCACCAGGTGCCCGCTAGGATGTCAATTCTCCGCTCGAGATGAAGAGGTTACATCGAACAATTCATCACATGGGACGTTAGGAGAAAGGGCAGGACTTGATATCTAATGCAAAAGTCATCATCAATTTCGGTATCCACATGCAGCACACGATATCAAGTGCAAAAAATCTCCCAAACCCAGCAGCCAGTGCAACAAACAAAAACCAGGGACATAATCCCACGAGTGATCACTCATGAATAAACAAACAAGCATCATCCTCAGTGGTATCATCAGAATTCCATTACAATACAACCAGATGTGTGATGGCTACACACCCGAGCGAAACTCGCCCACCTTAAGTCCGTTCCTTTCGACCCTACTCATCCCATATCATACCATTCCCACTCCATCCCATGCCTCATTACACATATCCAACCCAACGGTTTACCCTAGCACGTGATATCACATAAACATACAACCGCACCGAAAAAGCAAGCAACCGATTGTTCCGAAAAAAATCAAATTCCTATCCAGCCAACCAACCACATCCCCCGCCAAAGCAAAGCCAAATCAAAAAACGAATGGAAAAAATAAAAATCCAACTTTTGTTTTCGCTCCCAGCAAACAATTAGACAAAAAAGAGAAAGAGGCGGAATGTAAAAATATAATCCCCATGCTTGTGAGAATGAATTACACGCACGCTGCAAGCAGGCACCTGGAGGCACTAGCAAAAGCATTCAAGGAAAAGTACCTAATGGAAAAGAGAAGACAAACAACAAAGAAACCAGTGCAACCCCATTTCGCCGAAACTACCCGAGTAAGCAAGTAATCGATCAACTAAAAAAGCAAAAGGACAAAGCATGTAAATACGATGCAATGGTAGCCGAATAGACAATAAGTCGTTTTCTTCCCCTCCTAATCACGATAGGTCCACTATGAAGCAGAATAGGAAGACGATGCCGAGGAACCGACTCCACCATACGCTGCAGATGCAATTGCTCTTCCGCTGATATTAACACCTGCTCTCGCTTCGAGAGCTGAAAGCAATTCCATTAAAGGGGACGCCATTTCTTCCGCGCCACAGCCCGGCGGTGCGAGGACTCTTCGAAGGAAGAGAGTTGTCATGGAGTTCTAGTCCCGTTAGTTTAGAAATCACGATCAGAAACTAACTACTTACCTCGATACGAGTGACGATATGCTCGAAGAAGGGCATCAAAACCTGGTCCGTAGCGTTCTCTCCCGCGAGTTTCAATCTAGCAGTCATTTCAAGTCCACGCGGCTTCAGGAATGGTACACCGTCGGTATTAAGCGAAGAACATAGCCCTTCTAACCTAAGAGAGATTTCCCATAAAGCCCATATATCGGCAGGATCAACGGTTGTCTTTGAAACCTCACCCCTAGGAGGCCCTAAATTGGCTACACGGCCCACAAGTGACTGAGGATACATCAGGTGGATGAATTCTGGATTCTCGAGTCCCTTCAGTTTACGTTCTCCAAGTTCCTTAACCTCGAAGCCTTGACTGCTCAGCGTCCTAAGCTCTCTGCCAATGGTTTGTGCAAGTGACTCGTCCCCAAAGGGGTCCTCGGGTGACAGCCCCCCAACCAGCTCGGAATCCTGGTAGGCCTTGACACACCGTTTGATCTCGGCAACGAAATCAGAGCTGACCGTTATCTGGCCACCGTCCGCTTCCCCTGTGATGCGAGAAGCACGGTTAACCATAGGTCCGAAATAATCCATGCGGCGCGTAATCGGATCCGGTTCACACACAGGAGCGCCCCAATGGATGCCCATTCGTACCGACAAACCCCGGTAGATAAGATGACCGTTAGCATCTTGGACCGGACTACCGTGAATTGACTCAACGATCTCCGACGGCCAGGGTGCATCCAGCAAAATTGCCTGAACACTAAAGCACCAAAGCAACGCCGAGGTGGCAGTTGGAAAGCAAACCATAAAGGCATCACCCTCAGTCTTAATCTCATAACCCCCTACAATCCTCAATTGCCGCCTCATGATACTGTTATGCAGCTTAATGCCAGAACGCATCGCCGTCGGGTACGTTTCCCATAGCAAGGTTGAGTTCTTGATATCCGTAAACACCATAGCCAGGTCCCCTTCAGGTGCCTTTACCTCAGCATCGAGACGAGCCAACGCAAAATCATCCGGAATCTCATTCTTCCCTCTCCTTTTCTGAGCCTTCACCGACGGGAATAATGCTTCTTCATCGGGGTATGTCTGCCTAGGGCCCACCGAAATCGACTGGGTGCGCATCCTACTTTTGGATTTCTTCAGATCCCCAACGTTAAGTATCATGACCATAATTTTGTTAGTCGCACCATATGCAATGGCAATATCCCTCAGTTTATGGGCAGCCCGCATCAAATCATCTCTCTCCTGACGTGCGAGATCGACAACAGCCTGCGGACTAATATACTCCCACAATTCCTTGCTAGCAATAATCAGCAACTCCTGCTGATCGGTGATCTCTGTCTCGTGAATATGAGGCGCAGCATTGACGCAGGGCATAAGATGGTAATAACCAAACGCGCGAGACACATCAAGCACATCGTTCAGCTTCCCACTCTTTGAAACATAACCTCCAGCATCACGAATCCTCTCCAATTCCTGCGGATCCCCGGGCATGTGCTTTTTAGTCAGTATATCATGCTCCCCACTCGACTGAACCAGCATAGCCGTAGCATCTCCTACATTAGCAACGTAGAGATTGTTGCCTTTCATATAAACTACAGTGGCTGATCCGCCCGATACAAGATCATCTGGACCAAGAAATGCACCAGTAACGGTAGATCCCCGATGCGAGCCCACTCCTGTGAGATTCTTTTCATCTATTGTCTGCATAGCCACCGTAGCCATCTCCTTGTTCATGTTGAGGAATGCACGATGCAAAGCACGTCCTGGTTCCTCGTCGGGCTGAAGCTTTTCCAATTCATCCTTTAGAAAAGTATCCAACTGCTCATGCAAGTATTTTGAAACTTTACTCCCTCCAGTCGAGAGGGCTTGACCATCGAAAAGCCCAATCACACATTCATTGCGATTCCCACGGAACATTGGAATAACCATATCAATCATCGATAGATGCTCACTCCTCCCCAACGAGTCAGCCATTCCATATGCCATTGTTCGGACCATCGACGTTGATAAGCGAACACGGCGATCCTCAGTTTGGTCAGGTACATTGGGTATTGTCAAGGTGACATCCATCAGGCCAAGAACTCGGAGCTTGGATAGCTGGCTAAAATCGGTAATACTACGCCCGCGTCCAGAACCAGAGCCGCTTCGATCGGGCTTAATCTCTAAACGCTTGTTACCCGACAAGTTCAGGTACTTAAGGTCCAAATTCCAATTCCTAAAAAAACGCTAGTTAGGAGGTGAAACAATCCCAAAAAGGAAGTAAAGACTCACCAGTTCCAATCGTATGGCCAATTGGAAATATTGTACTTCAAGGCATTACTACCAACATCTAATACCAATAGCTTCCTGACCTTACCAAGTTCTGCAGGCAAAGTTTGGAACTTGTTAGAGTTGATGTGCAACACCTTAAGTGACGCCACATATTCTAAATCCTCTGCAGGTAGACTCGTCAACTCGTTCCCAGACAGATAGAGTTCGTTGAGCAGCGACAATCTACTCAGTGCTCGTGAAGGGATATCGTAAATCTCGTTGTAGGAAAGGTTCAAAATCCTCAATTCAGACAACAAAGACAGCTGCTCAAAGACCTCATCGGAAAGTTTGTTATCTGCAATGTGGAGATACCGAAGGGAGAAAGCAAATGTATTTGAGATACGGCTTGAGGCAGCGGAATCCTTTCTTGTGCTAAGATGGGATCCATGCTCAGAACCGGATTTTGAGATAACAGACGCCTTCCTTCCCCCAGGGCCATAAATTGAAACCAATGAGCCTTTCCTACCACCTCCACCGGGTGAGTTGCCAACACTCAGCAGACCACCGGATCCTTGCGAAGGCCTTCTCGAAGTATCTGGCTTCACAATTTCATCGTCTTTGCCTAATGATAGAATTGAAGCAGTCTCTGCTGAGGGCGATTGTGCAGCTGGATTCGGTATTGGCTTTGGGAACTCCCTAAGGAGATTGGAAGACACGTTCAAGGTTACCAAATTGGTCATTTGCCAAATCTCCCCCGGAAGTGTTTTCAGATTATTCTCGTGTAGATCCAAGACACGCAGGTCCGTCAGCTGTCCGATCTCCTTAGGTAGCGAGGCAAGCTCGTTATTGAAACAGCTCATATGTGCCAGCTTCTTGAGTTTGCATATCTGTGGTGGGAAAGAGACGATATGGTTTTTGTCTAGAACAAGCCGCTCCAGGTTAGGCAGCCTCTCGAATAGAGTTTCTGCCAATGCCGCGATCTTCGCATTCTGTAAATTGAGAAACTTCAGTGTCGGCATTGCCGACGGAAAACTGAATCTGGTAACAGGACATGAATTCAAATGTAAGGCGCGTAACTTGGGGAACGAGTGCTGGAATCCGGAAATGGAATTGTGGCCGGTCAGTAAAAGCTCTAATTTTGGCAGATCTGCCGCAACATCAACATTAATTAGGTTATTGTAGCGCAAATCCAGCTCCTTCAACCCATTCAGCAGGGAAAAGGTTTGAGGGAGCGATCCAGTAAGTCTATTGTTTGTTGCGACAAGACGATCAAGATTCCCAAGTTGTCCAATCTCGAACGGAAAAGTCTTAATCAAATTGAACGAGATATCGAGATCAACTAAAGTAAATAACTCGCAGATAAATGGCGGGAATACGTTGAGGTAGTTGGAAGAGAGGCTTAAACTTCTCAGGCATTTAAACTGGCTAAATGTATCCGGTAATGTTCGAAGCCGATTATTGGCCATTTTCAAAGCAACTAGCGACCCATGATTCTCCAAAGAAGCATGATCTAATTCCTCCAAACGGTTATTAGAAATGTCCAGGTAGGTCAACCTTGATGCAGCTGATATGCTCTGTGGAAGTTTTTCCGCCTCATTGCCTTGGAACTCGATTTTTCTCAAATTGACACATTGTTGAATAAAGTCAGTTGGTATATTGAGTGAGAGATTCCGAGATAGATTTAGTGAGATTATTTCTGCTGCATGATGATAAAGGGCAATTGGTATCGCCAGAAGATTCCGCCCCTGAAGGTCGACATGGCTATACTTCTGCAATTTTCCTAGTCCAGGATCTTGGTCCTACATGTCCCCCAAAGTTAGTCCAGACACCCCAAAGGGGAAAAAAAAGAAAACTGAGAAATCATACCAAGGAGTAATTGTTTCCCATCCGAGACATCATGAAAGTGAAACGGCACATATAGCTATGATCCTCACGTCCAATTTCATCCAGATGGTCGTCCTCAGTATAGCCAGCCTGTTCAAGCAATCGTTTCTGAATCTTAAGAGGCCTCTCATTGGGGCCAAGTATCCGTTGCACGCCATTCTTTTTCATAACAATCTGGTAGTTCTTCAAGTCATCCTGCAAGAAAGACTTCCTTCCAAGCAAATGCAAGACTTCAGTAGCGGAGGTTTGCAATCTACACGAAAGCGTTGCAAAGGTTGAATCCGCCCTGAAAACCCGAATGCAATACTAAAAAAAACCATCAGCTCATATCCTCAGATAAAGCACAAGCATAATATCTCCAAATAATTACCTGTGCATCTTCTTCTCCCCCTTCATCCTCTACAGTCTTCTCTGGGGCCACATTTTCGGGATCCCCTGAATCCCAACTCTCCGGAGGCTTCCATGTGATATCACTACGTGCCGGTGGTGCCATTTCCTCATGGATAAGCCGAGGGTTGTCTGGGCCAGGATCAGAAGCTTGCGCAGGTCCAGGTAATTTAACAATATCGTGAATATTTGAAAAATCGGAATCAAGTTGGAAAGTTGTCCCAGCCTCCTCAGACCCCTTAGATCCACGGCACCTCCTATTGGATCCGAGATCCTTTCCACCCGGTGCCTCATATGTTAAAACACCTCTTTTTGCTGCCTTCACTCTACCATAGCTCTCGGGTGCTTTCCCGGTTATCTGCTTTCGGGCCGGCATCTGTTCAACGGGAGCGTAATCGAATGCTCGGGGATTGACGAATTCGTTACTTCCGGAACCCCTCTTTGGAGTGGTATGAACAGGGGAGATGCCGCTAGTAGAAACATTCAAAGGATCAGTTGGCTTTTCGGAAAATTTAGACCTCTTAGACCTTATCGAGCCTTCCTTCTCGGAATCCCCGCTCTGTTCCTTATCCTTCTTCCAAATCTTGTCCCACAGCGACGTTTTCTTCTGAGTATTTTCACCGGGGGATTTAGGCGGGTTGTTGGACAAAGAACTTGCTATTGACGGGGTCGGTGAACCGGGCCTGATCAACCTCGTCTGAGACGAGTGTGAGGAGGCCGTTCCATCTAAATGTAGTCTTAAGCCCCTCCGATAATCCTGACCCGACAATGACATTGAGTCCTTGCTGGCTGATGATGGTCTAGGGGGTAGCTCCTTCTCGAAAGCCCTGTCTTTCTCCTTATCCCTCTCTTTATTCCTGTTCCGGTGCAAATGTAACCTGTGACTATGGGATGATGACGCACTCGTGTCCTCAGAACCGTACCTCTGCCTATCGACAATTGGGGCGTCACGAACAGGAGCATCACCCAAGCGACGAATATCCTATAAAATCCAAAAAGAGCCAAAGTATAAGCGGCTATCCCTACAACCCTAACAAACAACTAATCTGCCCAAACCACTCACATCTGGATCTTGATAAATAAACGGTACCACATCCGAAGAGGGCAAGGGTGTCCTTGGTCGCGAATTTGTGGGAGTGGTCGGCCTAGGAAATCCATAATGTGAACGAGGAGTGGCATTTGGTGGCAGGGACGATTCAGAAGACCCAGGACTCTCCCCCGCATTATTGTTGTCATTGTCACCAAAAAACTTCTTGTAGCCGCTGTAAAAAGATTTACCTATAGATGACTTTGAACCCGTGGATGAGGCGTTGGTAACGACAGAAGCAACCGAAGGCCTTCGGTCGTCAATTGGAAAGTAAGCATCACTCGAATTCTGAGTTCCTGCAGATGGAGCAGTGCCTGGCCGAACAGGTGGGGAAAGTCCGAACTGATCTTGCGAGTCGAAGGAGTTATTGTTAAGGTAACTTGATGGAGCAACGGCGGAACTTGCGGTGCCATTAGCAGGAGAATTTGAAGCGGAAGGAGGATTTTGTCGGAGGACGAAAGGGGGGGTCTGCAAGACGGAAAGATCGCGACGGTGGTCGCCTAGATTCATCATAGAAGCAGCGTTGGGTGAAGAGAGAGGCGGGGAGGGCGTGAAAGAACCAGGAGAAACGTTATGTTCTCTGTCAAATCTATAAGGTGCCCAGCGAATCATGCGGGATACCGCATACACATCGCGTCAGCGCTCAATGGGACCCATGACGGGGCACACAGACCTGCCACTTTCCTGGACATCCACATCCAAAAGAAGTACCGATTTACAAGAAATAACGGTGAATAATGATGGGAGAAGGAAGGGTGGGAAATTGGGATTGAGATTGAAACTATAGCTCTCGACAAGGAAAACTCACTTGCGTGGTCTCGCGGGGACGTGGATAACGTTCCGCACACCCTGGGAAACGGAAGGCAGGGTCATCTCGGGGCTGTAGCGCGACGAGTTTAACGAGTGAAACGAAGTCGCCGAGTTCGTCCGCTGTCTTTGCTCGTGACGAGTCATGATGCCGTTTAGTCTTGTTCCTAGCCTTTTTTCCCTCCTTTCTGGGGTTACTTTTCCTTCCTTTCCTTTCCCGTCTATTCTCGACCCCTTTCTATCGGAGAAAGATGTCGAGAAGAGGAGAAGAGGGGGGGAGGGGTTGCGGCAAGATAGGACAAATGAATGAGGGAGGGGGTGAAAGATTCGTGGGTCCCCAGTGGGTTGAACCAAGCTCTACCGTATCTTCAAGCCCTATGGATATGTGATAAGTGCGGGAGTGATGGTAGTTCTCACGTCGCTTCTTTGGCACCGGTGGCTCCGACTTTTCCGTCTCGCACAGCGAAGTTGGTGATGGATCGCTCGTGAGGATTTGCGACGTCTGAAACTACAACGCCATGACAAAGAAACTCGGAGATAAGCCAGAGAAGCTCTACAGAATAGGGCGGGAGCGAAGAAAGGAGAAATTGGTAAGAAGCAATATCAAGAATCGGGAGGAGCAGAGGAAGCAAAAGTGGCTACAATATGATAGCAAGAGTGGGCGAGCGAGGCGAAAAGTGGGGGCACAATTGGAGACGAACCGCAGCTCCGAGCCTTTTTTGTTTTTCCCTTGGAAGAGGGGAGAAGGCCCGAGGGGAAAGGGTCCGGGGGAAGGGGGGTGGTAAGAAGAATGAATATCTTCCCAACTACCGGTACTCGAGTACAAACATGTAGTGTACCGCATGTAACTCCCTGCAACCCTATCGCCACGATGACTGTCCGAAGATATCGTATCCATACCATACCAATATCAGGCCAGTCAGAGTGGGCATAGTTCAGTCACTTGTGTTTCCTCTCCACACACTCATAAACACCGTTGGTGGTAAATTATGATAACATCCTGCATCTCTGACCTCTTACTTCATTCAGCCCTCTCTTCCTCCCCAACAGCACAGCAATGATTTCTTGTGGGACCCATTACCATACGGTACTCGAGTACAGTGAGGGAGGTGAAGGGGGCATTTTCTCGATGCGGCACGCCCCGTTAAACATAGGGTGTGTGTGGAGCAGAACGCGAAACGATTGGCAGGTCCGCATTTTCAGCAACAACTTTTTTTATATGTCGACTTTGCACGATATTGTGCAACTCTGGCACACCCCTCACAAACTCTGACCCACTCTAGCTCCGATACTGATGCTCATACGGTATACGGGTACAATACTTGAGCACAGTAACAGTGCGGTTACAGGTAGACTGAACACCGCCAGGAGCCCCGCCCCGAACAAGAGCCGGGGGGCAGAGGAAGGGGGATAATCAAGATAGCATACCGTACGGTGCCCGAGTGCTCTTGCGGAAAAGTGGGAGCGGCACGCTAGGGACAAGGTTCAAGTATGATATGATAATATGATGATGATGATATTATTATTATTATGATAATATTGTGCTCAGTGTGAATACGATGACGGATGCAAGCTGCGCAGCGGTGCGGTAGGAGTAGCGGGCTCCGGGCACAGCAGCGACCTTTTATCAGGGTGGTCACTAACTTTATCACTATCATATATAATTCACTACCGGTAGGCTACTGGTACTCGAGTACATTATGCCCTCTACTCTACGCACAATAACTTGCGGCTCACATAATTTACATGGGGACGGTGCTCCTAGCACTGCAAGTACCCTACCAGAACTACAGTTATGTAAAACTGTGCGATAAGGCACCCCTCCCCCTCTCCCCTTCCAGCACCTCTCAACCGGAAGACCCCACAATAACCCGACCCAGCTAACAGTACAATATTAGCGAGGCCATCGCGCAAGAAGCCGCAAAGTTAACATGTTGTCGGGAAACCTCTTGTTCAACTAAGCGGTTATCCCCGGTGTTCTGTAAGGGTTAAAAATGTTGACAGAGGAAATTACAGTACAGCACCGGTAGAGATCCGGTGCGGGGCATTCTACGATATGATATGTAATGTACCGTACAGTTACCACGCTTTGGTTTTCCTTCCCGCCTGTTGGTCGTTTGGTCAAACCCCCCCATCCGTCCCCCTCCTACGATTGAGCCATGAGAACAAAGGGCAAAAAAATATTTCACTTCTCTACCCCCAGCACAGTTGCTGCATGGCCCCTCGTGCAAGGCCATGTTGTGGTATGATATCGCGGCGTAGCTCCTTGAATAGGGCTAAGATACGTATATTTTTTATTCATGTGCCCGGGTATGATGCATGCAACGATCTCTCGTCTGATACACGAAAAGAGTCCTCGTGGTCGGAAGTTCTATTGAAATCGTGAGTGGGGGAGGTGCTTACTTGGTCGCCGGATGGATGTGATGGAATGATGGGGGGTAGAAGCAGGATTGCAAAGGAAATCCCAGTCGGGAGAAAAAGATGCACGGGTTTCTTAATAATAATATGTAGATTTGATAAATAAATAATAATAATAATATTGTTATTATTATTACAAGTATGTTCTGTGGGTTGCCAGTATTGGAATTACCCTACCGGTGCTTCGGGCCTGCAGTATAATATGATATGCTTTTCTTGTCCTGCATGAAGGGTGGGGGCATCGAGTCCAGGTACCTGCACTGTGGCCACCGAGGTTATTGCTCTTCAGCTATGCCTTTCGGGCCGATATCATCAGCTCTGGGGGTGATGACCCTTGCTCGCGAGTACCGGAAGGAACGGACGCTTGTTCACTACTCGTACGAGTACAGTAGGATTCATGGACAGAAGAAGCTCGGGCCTTGGGAGATTCCCCCACCATGTTCGAAGCTAATACGGTACCCGTACCATTATTTACATGTACTAGTACAAATACCGCTACGAGTACTCTTGAAGTCCACCATCTCCGGCAGCCCTGTAATCTCCGGGTTCCGTGTCGGAAGCTCCTAAGAAGGATTAGCGTTTCCCGGACACGGTATGAGACCAGCCCACTAGACGTGTTGGATCTCCTTAACCGGTATTCACCATTTCCCCCAACCTATCAAACTAAGCCTATCGTGGCTGACTAGCTGGTGTTCCAATGAGTGGATTGCACGAGTAACGGTAAATGCAGTATGATATGATGCACTATCAACTGTATCGAGGTTGAGCATCAACGCCGACCCACAAATGAAACAGCGCCTAAACCAAGCTGAACAAACCACCCCGAAAAAGCCCACCCGGGGCAAGCATTACCAGTACCGTATTACGGCAATGAAGCATGAGTCTACTAGTACTACTCGAGTAGCACACAAAACCTCGCGATGCCACCGCTAAAATTTGGGTTGTCTAAATCTGCATCGCTATGGCAACGATCGGACTAGAGCGAGTGGAAAGAGCTTATTGCGTGCTGTGCTTCAGCCCCGGTTCGGCCACCGCCATGTGCCCATGACACCGGTATGGTAGAGTACCGGTACCGGCACTCGTACAGTTCACGAAGCATGGCACAGTAAGACTCTATCATATCAGCATTCCAACTCTCAACTAAGCAAGCCAATCCATCCACGAACAAATCAGCCCCGGCGTCGTCATGGCCGTCAATCTGGTGATGCGCTATTACAGCATCCCCTGCTGCGGTGCTGCTCGAATCTGCCATCTTCCTAGTGCAGTTCCCTTCCCCACGGGCGATAGCAACGAAAACTCAAAAGCCAATTCACAATTCGTCTCGATTCCGAAAAATTGATGAAGAGCGTGGTAGGCTGAGTGAGTCATGACTGGCGATGGCTGACTGCGAACAGTGCCCATGGGAAGTCTTGCATGCAGCGGGCAGGCAGGCAAAAAGTCTTAGTGGTTAGGCGCATTTAAAACCAAAATTTCGTCGTTTTGAAGGGTTCTCGATCAGGCCCCTACATTACCGGTAAGCTTACGGTAGATAGAAAACTCTCCAAAAGCCATCAAAGAAAATAGCTATATATGCGTGTAAAGGGTTATCCTCCTCCGACCCTTCCCCATCGTAACATCACAACTTGACAAAGATTGTGGCATTGCTGTGAGGCATTATCAAGACAATTATTTCAGAAAATGGTGGGTTTTAAGCGATAGTAGAGAGCTTTGCAGGATTGTACGTAAATTTAAGATCTTGGGTTATTAGTGCTGGGCAAGCTAGACTGAACATCCGAAACACTAGCTCCCGCCGGTAATCACTGACTAATCGATCAACCGGTACCCCAATACCGATACCGGTATGCCGAGCCTAAGAACTACAGTCGGCATGGTCTCCCCCACTCAAGAATTGCCGATACTGTAGACTATTCCGATTGATATTTATCTCCAGTGTCACCCACTCTGCGATACGATACCGCACGATGCCCCTATCTAGTGTCGTAGTCCCCTTGATGTATCATACCCTTGGCCTCGCACCACGGCGTATGATACAGCACAACTTCAAATCGCACAAGCCATCTCAAGCTCACGTCCTTGTCGTACCGCACTGCCCTATCCCTGGGACAGAGGACACATTCAAACCTGTCACCTGGTCCGTGCACGGCTTTTGGGAAACTTGGTAGACAGAGCAAGGCGGCCTTTCTCGCGACGTGAACTCAAATATCATATGATTCGGCAATTCCTCGCCACTAAGAAACGAGAGCGCACGGAACAGGTGACAGGTTTGACCGTGCCATCCGTTCAAGGGAAAGTCAACACTAACTGCGGTACCGGTAGATCACTCTAAACACCATGCCCTGGACAAACGCAATCCGACCACCTCAATCCCTCACCCCTTCCCCCAAAAAGGAACCGATTACAGTAGCACTATATTTACTGGTCTACCCTTCCGAACATGGTCTTATAATGCTGACCCTCAAAAACTGAAACATGATGATTCCCCCTTCCCCCTCTTTCTCCCTCTTCGTCTGCTATGATATGATACCATTATACTGGGGTTGGCCCCTGCTTGGTTATGATGACTAGCTTTTGTAGTACCCGCAACCGACTCCGAAGAGCCCAAACCGGCTCTTCTCCCCCCCTAGAACTCGTCTGTCCGACCACTCTCGGTTTCGTCTGGATGAAGTCTCTATTTTTGGATTAGTTTCGAATACGGCACACAGAACGCTGTACGAGTAGTCTGCGGCCCCGGTGCTACTCGAGTACCAGTGGGCAAGTATGGTGCTGGTTGAGTTACCGGTACAGTACCGGTACGGTAGTTATCTTATCATCTGGCAAGGTGGGTGAGTGTGGTGGCGTGATTGTTATCGTTTCTTTGTCATCAATTACCGGTATATGATTACTCATGATGGAGGTGATGATGTCAAAATCCCTCCCCATGTATGATGGGAATGGTGTAACCTTCCCCCGGTTCAGTCTTCGGTACCCTATTATTGCCGTGGTATCATACGGTATCATACTTGTACTGTACCGGGTGCGATGTGTGGCTAGTATTTGTATGATATCCCAAATCGAAGAACCATGATAAGATTTGAAGGCCGAGGCTAAGGTTGATATGGTGTTTGGGGTTGCTTTTGATAAGTTCACGTTCCTTAGGACCGAGAGACCTACATCAATGCTAACTAAACAACCCAATTCAGGCATCTGCACAGCTTCATGCGCAGCATAACCTCCCGACAGGATGAGTGCTTACTGTAAGTCTGTCAAACCGGCTCGTCGAAACTCCATGTGCATAATGCGGATCACGCACCCGAATACTGGTAAGCCAGTACCAATTTTCGGGGATGAAAAAAAGGTCTGTCGAGCTCTTGGCGCACCGGCTGGATCAAGCACCATCCTCTGAGCGAGCCAAACCAAAGTTCGACAGACTACCGGTACTGTATCATACCCTTCATACCCGGCCCAGTATGGTAACAGAACCGGACCGGAGGAGCCCAACTGGCGCCCTTGCCCGCGCTGCGAGGCAGGGCCGCCATTCGGCATAAAGATAAAAACGGAAAACGAAGAAGAAGGGGAAGGAGACCCAGCTCGCAAAAACACCACAACGCACACACAATCCCATATTTAGGAAGTCCATCCCCATTTTCACTACCGGCGGTGCACTTCCAGTCCTTATCCCCTCCTCCAACCACGTGGCATCCCACATATCCAACTCTCCGTGCACAGACCAACGTGCAGCAGACTACCGATATTATGTTATCCTGAACTGGGGGAAGTGATACGCTTAGTCAGAAATTGTTTTTTTCTGGGAAACAAAAATTTTTTGTGGCGTTCGCTAAATTAGTGAGCTGCCGATGATTGCCATACTTGAACTATATCTCACCGGTAGATTAGGTTCTTTGGAAAACCCAAGGTACAGTGACAGCAATGCCGGCCGACGACAACCAGTCGGTTATGTGCATGCACCAAGTGCTGCTCGTGATTGAGCGACGTTTGTGGGCATGACCACTATTGGATGACACCGAGATCCAAGCAAAAAGGCTGAATTTTGGCAGTATGCAATAGCAGTTGTGTTCGCAAATGTCATTCAATTACGAGTAAGCCAGTGGAAGTTTACAGGGCGGGCGCGTGTGTGGGGCGGGAAGACAATTGGGCTACGTGAGGTGAGGACTGTTTGGGGTCGGTTTGGGGGTTTTTGGATGGAGTGGGACCTTGTCTTGTGGGGGGGTGGTGGGGTAGTCATATGGCTCGTGATAGTAATTTGATGGCGTATGGGTCCATATAATATTCAGTCGCGAAAGGTAGGCTGTTCCTGGGGCGGGGGTTGGAAGGAGGACTAACCTTCTGTTGGTGGATGGATCAACAGTTCAGCGTGCTTTACTCGAGTACTCGAGTGCGAGTACCGTACAGCCGGGACCCCATAACTTGTAGTTGGCCGCGAAACTCTATCTTAGTATCATACAAGGAGGAGATATCGAGCGCTGAGAAAACACCAGCACCAGTACCGGTTTAATATAATAATGTTATGTAAGCAATTAGCTTCTACCCCAACCCCATCAGACAAACGGAATCTGGATCTACCATATACTAATCCTAATGATCCCTACCCAGAGACAGAGTAGTCAGATCAAGTCATTAACTTCACTCGAACGAGTGACTTTACATGATCCTAAATGGTCTCACATCGAACCCTGAATAGGGGGATTACCGCAGTCCTTAGAAACGGAGACGGAGCAGAATTCTATGTTTTACATGATAGAAATAAGGGTGCCAGCGCGTGTAGTGCCTTCTCGTCGCAGTCTATAGTTTTCCGCCCCGACTCATGTGTGGTGGGGGATCGGCAAGCTTGGAAGAAGTCCTTCATCAACATGGAAGAGAGAGCGGAAGGCGGTAAGATAAAAGAAAGGGCAAGACCGGATCCACACACATAAGCAACGACATAACTACGACATTGTGCAGGAATACATACAACATACCCATTCCTATGATACGTACTACAGGTATACGCAACAGCAGGAAGGCACCGATGGAACTCTAAATCCAAACCATCCGATCCCTCCATTTTTTCCAATACAGTAGTTTCTTGGGCTCTCCATGGGTTGTTCTCGGTGAAGTTCTCTCCCAACGCTTTTGCATTTGCCCCTAGTTACTCGATCCTGGGTGCTTGGTGTGCTTCATGTTTGCGTCTTGCCTGTAGTGTCGTAGCATGTTTCTATTTTCTCTCTCTTTTGGGGGTCTGAGTGATGCATACTCGTTCGCTAGTGAGTGAGTGTACGCTTTTTCCTCCAATAGTGAACGCAACTTGATTCCGTAGATTGGGAAATCGATTAAGCGGTGTTCGGTTTTTAAGGGCCAACAGCTCAGCTCAGAGCCTGGTCTCTATGGTTGGACCAGGCTTGTGCTCTTCCTCCGCCGCCGGCTGGGATTGGGAAAGGCTTATGCTGTGATCTCAAAAGTGCCATCTGAATTAACTCAAGGCTCGGAATCGAGGAGGCTCCGGGGAACACGATGATAATCAATAATTGGAATGAAGAGCTGATCATAGAAATGCACTCGGTTTTCTTATCGGAGCTAGCCGATGGACATTTGCTTTTTTAACAAGGCTGCAAATCAGGACAGGCACTGTGCTATGCTCGTATCACGTTGCAATTGGATATTTGAGATCTGTGCACAGGTAGTTCTTTCTGTATGGTTACTGACTCTTCCTCAACAAGACAAAAGGAGTCATAAATTTATAGGATAAGGGTTAGTGGTTGTTGGTCGTGAGTCAGGTATGATAGATCGCGATAACACCCAACAGGGTCTGATAGGTCGCGACTGAGGTGTGGCGTAAAAACAATGCACTGCCACGTGTTTGTTTTCGCCACATACCCGCCACCTTCATCACCGCCAACCACATCATCGTCATCCTCATCATCACATCCATCTTCCCCCCCTCTTCACAATCATCTTAACCACATCCTCCCTACCACAACTACTTCTACAACTATCGCCCCGACCGGGCTTTCTCCCTCCCGCGCTTCTCCCTAACACTTTATTAATCGATATCTGCTCATCTTCATTCGCTCTAAGCGAGTCCCCTCTCGGTTACCTGTATCTGTCCTTAATTACCTGGTGGTATCACCTATCGCATAATGGATGAACAAGAATACCTTCAGCCTGGGTTCGATCCCAACACCCTTAAAGTCGCTGAGCTTCGCGGAATACTTTTGGAGCATAGTGTCGATTACCCCTCATCTGCTAAAAAGGCTCAACTCGTGGAACTATTCAACTCCCAGATCGCACCCAAGGCCCGCCGTATCTTGGGCGCCCGATCGCGGGTGAAAGCTTCGGTCCAGGGGATAATCGATATGGAAAGTGAAGGTGCGTCTCTAGCGGAGGCCACCCCTAGACGATCTTCTCGCCGGACTACTCGCATGGGAACTGCCGAGACCGAGGACGAAGTGGAGGATTATTCCCGGCGGAGCCCGCGGAAACGTTCTGTTTCAGCAAAGCGCCAGCTTAATAAACCAGCAAGACCCAGCGAGGCTCTCACAGCCGAGCCGGAAGACCAACAACCGCCACCATCTACCCGAAAAACCAGGAACAGCGCTTCCCGTCAGACGATACTTCCTAGCGATGGCCAGCGAGACTTTGTACTCCCTCAGATAAAGCTTTCTGCCTCAGATGAGGAGAAGGAGGCTTCAGTGTTTTCTTCCCAGAATCCTTTTCAAAGCGGTTCGCCGCTTGCTAGATCCCCAGATCGGAGTGACCGACGCAAGGTGAAACCCAGTTTTTAGCACTCTTTTGACCCCCTGCTTATAAGCTATATATAGACCACGGGAATGACCAGCGAGAGACGCCGTAAATCAGAGGCTGCGAGACGTCAAACGGATTTTCCTATTTCCCCTCGTGCGGGAGATGAGCGAGGGGATAACTATACTCCATCCAGCACTCGGGTGATTCCTGCCTCCCGGGGTTTCGGGATTCCTCTCTCCAGACTACCAGCAAGCCCTAACGAACCGCTCAATGGCGTAATAAAGAAGGAAGAAGTGGAGGATGATTATTCTTTGGAGCCTGGAGAAGAATTCACTCCAGAAGGCACCGCAGAGGTTGCTGAATCAAGCCCAATTGTGCGTCGTCCCAGGGGTGGAATTCAAAATGCCGCGAGCACAAGCATGCTTTGGGTCATCGTAATTGCACTTCTTAGCGGCTACTTTGCCTGGTGGAGGAAGGAGAAGTTGGAAGTCGGCTATTGCGGTTATGGAAAATCGAGTGCGTGATTTGCCCTCCGCCCCTCTTTCAATTTGGAAAATTAACAAAATCTAGCTACAAGCATGCATGTCCCTGAGGACGATTGGACCAATGTTCTTCGTCCTCAATGCGAGCCATGTCCGCCAAATGCCATCTGTAGGCCCGATTTCGAGGCAACCTGCAATGACGATTATGTTCTTGTACCAAATCCATTGTCGCTCGGTGGACTGGTTCCTCTCGCACCTGTTTGCGAACCTGATTCCCAAAAACTCCGAAAAATAGCCGTATTATCAGATGAGGCAATCAGAGTATTGAGAGCTAGGGCAGCAGATGTGGAGTGTGGGGAAGTAGCACTAGGCAAGGATGAGGAGGCAGGTGTCTCGGAGGCCTATCTGAGGCAAGTGCTGTATGACCTTAAAGCCGTTAGTCCCGCGGAATGATTCATTGCATAATTCCATTCCTTGCTTGTCTCGATTGCCTAAACACCTTGAAGATCAAATAACTAATGCTTTTTGCCTTTTATAGCCAAGCTTGTCGGACGAGGGATTCAGTCAGCTATGGCGGAACGCTCTAGAAGACGTTTCGAATCGAGAGGAGGTTGTGTATCATCAAGATGGGTGAGTGATTATCCCCCCTCTATGATTCTACGCCCGCCTTGCCTTTCGCATTTAGAAGGGAAGAGCATTCTTATCTGACTTTGTGGTCCCTGATATAGCCAAGGACAAACATACCTCCAGTCAACCTCTCTCGCAAGTGTTCCGCTCCGCTGTGCGATCCGAAAATCAATCTCCGGATCCATGGCTAGGTACCGAGTCGAACTTAGTGGTAGGTTATTTACAAGAATAATTCCAAAGAGTAAAACATAATATTCAATCATGGCATTCTGATGTATCCTTTTCGCCTACAGGAATACTGTTCTTTGCCTTCCTCGCGTTCAGCCTTCGCAAATCCATAAGTTCAAACCGCGTCTACCAAAGTCAAGTAACGGGGCTCGTTCACATAGCCCTCAAACACCTCACCCGCCAAGCCCGTGACCACCCACGTGAACCGTGGATCGCAATCGCGCACCTCAGGGACCAGGTATTACAACACGAATTCAACACCGAACGGCGTAGGAAGCTGTGGGAAGGGGTGCAGAAGATTGTCGAGATGAACAGCAACGTTCGTGCAGGTGAGCGGGAGATTAGCGGGGAGGTTATGAGGACATGGACTTGGATTGGGGGTAGGGTTGCGCTGGGTGGCAAGGAGGGTGAGAGCGAGGCTGTGGTGGGCTTTGATAATGATAGTAACGTTGGTGGTGGTTCTCGGGAGAAGAAGTGGACTTCATATCCGAGGGTTATTGCTTAAGACTGTATGGGCTTAAGACTGTGGCGGCTTTATTTTATGTGTTTTTTTTTCTTTTTTCTTTTTACTTTTCTTTTTTTCGCTCTTTTTCTTCTCTATCAATCAGTGGTCGACTGGTTTTTGTGACTAGTGTTTTTTTATTTTATTTTTTTACCTCTTCTCTTTCTTCTATTCTTTCCGTCTTTATCCTTTCATGTATCACGAGAGTAACGTTCGGGGTGGGAGAGTGACGAGGGCTCTGTAAGTTCTATGCCTGGCTTGGGAGCAGGGAGCCATCAAATGTGTTGCTACTACTGCTACTACCACCACCATTATCACCACATGTTACGGCATCTGCCGTATGTCATTACGCAGAAGACGACAATCCTTTATTATCAGATAACAATCAAAAATTACATACTGGTAGTATCACACACAACATAGTTTGACATAACAAATCACTATCACAAACAATCACAAACGTGAAACGATATGGCGTGGGTGCAACAGCAATAACAACAACGTTTCGAAGAATTAGGCGCTGTATTTGAAGGAGTAGAGAGAATTGGCATTGTTATTATTATTATTATTATTATTATTATTGTCCTCCAAGCGCAGCATGTGAGGACTATCATGAGGGTAAGGTAAGGTAAAAGTTATAATTGAGCACGTAGGTACCGGTATCATACGCGAATCGAATACCATAAAAGAGGAATCTGCTATTGGAACGGTTTAATTGCCTCTCGCGATGAGGCGCTGTGTATTTTCTTTTCTTTCCTTCTTTTTTTTTTTTTTGTCTCAGCTGAGGGCTGAATTTGTGGTGGTTTCTCCACTGTGCCTCTAATCCTTGGGGGGGGGGCTGGAGGGGGAAGGAATTTCAACGACCTTGCATACCGGTATTTCTCTGGTATCGTTGCGACTGCTCTCTTTTCCCCATTGCTCTACCGACAGTCGATGGTAACGCCCTGCTCGGTACCTTGCGAGATGAGTCTCGCATGGTACGGTACTCGAGTATAATGAGTTACAATTACTTTTACTGCAGGTAAGGGAGTTATGATGGACTTACCGGTACTTGTACTAGTACAAGTATTATTATATTCAAGATGGTCTGTGCTGGGTACCGTAGTCAACGGTCATCGTGTGGTGGTAGGGGGAGGAGTTACCCGGATTTTGGTCGAGGGGTAACTTATTGTGTGGTGTGATTGTGCTGTCGAGGCATCTTCATCTTTCCTGCCAAATAGGGCAAAATGTTACTCGCGGGGAATTCGTCTAGATATTATTATAGCTCAGGATACATGACCGGTCTATTCTCTGCCGTAAAAAAGGACTTGTTCCTGGCATGATAGATTCTGTACTCGAGTACCGATCGATAGTGGGGAAAGGGAAGGAAAAAATTTGGGAGAGATTCAATATTTTGTTTCCTCCCTCCCTCCCTCCTCTCCTCGTTCTCCATACTCAGTACAGTACATGCTAGGATTTGTAATGGTGTGTAAGTTTGTACTGGAGCGATTCGCACCATACCGGTACTTGTGATATTTGTACCTCAGTACTCCTCTCAATCCCCGGAGACAACCCCAGCATCCATTCCATTGCATATTAACCGAGCAACAGCCAGCTGCAACCAGGGAAGCGAACGAATGGGAATCCGCGCGATGAGGGGTCCCCAGGAAAAAAAGGTGATTATGAGATTCCTCTTTCTTTCTTTTCTTCCACCGTAACTTTTACCGTACTTGTTGGCTTGCACATCCCCCTTTCCCTCTTGCTTGCTTTGTGCTTCCCGCTGCACAGGTACTGCGGGTGTGCTGCAGTACGGTAGGGGTTTGTTCATCGCTCTTAACTTGAGACTGTAACCCCCCTGATTTATTTTCTTGTGGATTCATTGTTAGCTTCGTTTATTCTGATCAGAGGAGAATATAATAATATTTCTTTTTCATTTTTTATCGCCTTTTATAGGGTTGACTTGTGGTCCCTCATTTATATCACCAGTTGATATCTGGTTCGCCGGTTAGCTCCACGCAGACATCTTGTCTCTAACTTTTGGTTGTGGGGAATATTTCCGGTTTGTTGTTGAAGAGGGCATGAGGGTGTTGGAGGAAAGAAGGAGGAATAGGAAGAACTGGGAACAAACGAAGTGTTTCCCATATCTACGGTAGCTGCCTACCACACGCACACCGCCCCCCCCCCCACACA